ACTTGGTGGAGGACGATACTCGCCCAAGTTGTGCGCTCCAGGGGGTGGCGGGAACCGGTTGGTATACGGATAGTAATTCTCCGCTGGCTCCCCTGCAATCCCGACTGGCGGAGACGGCGCGTAGGGAGCATGGTCGTACTGCTCCTCATACGAGTCATGCTCCCGGTCGCTTTCATTTCCTATTCCATTGTTAATCAATCTGCGATCAAGGACGACTGACGAGACGAAGGGAACTTACTCCGCCGCTCTCTCTCCCTGCTGTGCCGTTCCTTGTCCGCCTTCTTCTTCTTCTCTTTGCGCTCTGCGTACTTGGATGCGGCGTACCCAACCCCAGCGGCCGCCAGGCCAGCCTCGGCCAGATCTCGAATCCGACTGCTACTTCGTTCCTTCTTCTGCTGGCGGCGGTGGCTTCGACGGCTCTCCCGGTCCGATTCCGAGCTGGAGTCGCTGCTGTACCCACGGCTGTGGCTACGGTGACGGTGACGGTGACGGCGACCATGTCGTGCCGCTCCATACGCTGCGTCTCCTGCATCAGCCGGAACGACTGCGTCGGAATAATAGCCCTGCGGAGTGGCCGGTCGACCATAGTAGTCGGTCGTAGGAATGCTCCCGTATACCGGGTCGTTGCCATACTCGATCAGGCCGGGCGATTCCCGCGTCGGGTCCGGATGGATGGCAGATCTAGCCCGGCTTCTAGATCGTGACTGTCGCCGTTGCCGTTCAGCTGCTGCTTCTTCCTCCTTCTTTTCCTTGTGCTTCTCATACAGGCCGGCAATGGCTGCACTTCCCAGCCCGGCCGCCACGATCGGAAGACTCTTTCGGATTCGACTGCGGGATCGAGATCGCTCCCCTTTACGCGAGCGCGAGCGACTGCGGGCCTTCTCGATCAAGCCTGCCACCGCAGCACCCGCCAGGCCGGCTTCGGCCATGCGCTTGTTGCGATGAGACGAACTGCGAGCATCATCCCCGCTGGAGACTGACCCCCCGGCGATGCCGCGAGCGGCTCCTTCGCTCCCGGTTGTCTTCAGACTTCTTGCGCGCCAGTGCAACAGCACCAGCCAAGGCAGCGGCACCAAGGCCAATGCCCGCCAGAGTCGTGGCCCGCGAGAGGGAGGACGAACGACTGCGGCTGCGGTGTCTGGAACGATGACGGCGATGATGGTGATGGCGGTGGTGGTGATGGTGGTGAGAACTTCGACCATCATCCACCGACTCGGAACGACGGCGACTCTTGCTGCGGTATCGCATGATGGCATCCGCGGCCACTGCACCTACAGCTCCGGCGCCCACATCTCGACCGATGCGACTCCAGCCGGAGGACACCTCCTCGCCCTGGCTTTTGCTGCGATGCCGGAGCAATTCCGCCGCACCAACGCCGATCAAGGCACCGGCGCCTTCGGCAAGGTGGCGGCGGTGATTCGGATCTTCGTCGTACTCGCGGGTTTCTTTGCGCACATAGACCATGCTCTCGTCGCTGCTGTAGTCACGATCGCGCTCGCGATCCCGGTGGCTGCGGCTGCGGTTCACCTGCGAAACAGAGTCGTGAGGACTGATCTCTCGACGGGAAAGAGGCCGGTCGTCGTCGTACTCGCGAACGCGTCTCTGATAGTAGTATTCAACGTCGCGGGGGTCACGGTCGATGACCTCGGAACGGTGGACAACTTGATACTCAGGCTCGTAGATGGGACCTCGCGCTGTTCGACTGATTAGTGACTGCCCTTGGCAAGTGATCTGACAGTGCTCACATTCGTAATCTCTTTCGGAGCGATGGTCGCGCCGGTAGTCGTAGTCTCCGTCGTCACGCTCAACCTTGCGCCTAATGACCAGTTCACGGTCACCGATCGAGGAGTCGTCACGGCGGTAGATGACTTCGCGCTCGCGATCGCGGTCGTCCTCTGGAGGGATGATGTAGCGTCTAACGGTGTAAGAACGGGGTTCGGAGGGACGCGAATAGTCGTCCCATTCGCGGTCCCGCTCTCTGTATGTGTACGACATGAGGAATCTAATCACAGACTGATCTAACAAACAGGAAGGGTAGGACCAGCGGCAGGCAGTGGGGGAAACTCGATGATGATCAAAATGGTACACAAGATGTCCATATCAGATCGTCGAGCGCAAAATCGTATGATCCTTCTTTTGCTTCTCTTTTGAAATATCTGGAGTGGCAACTGAGGGGAAAAGGAAGCAGAACGGAAAGCAGCGGGATGACAGAGGATGGAGAGAAAGTCTAGCGGGGAGGCAGCGGCTGTCAAGTCAGTGAGGATGACTCGATGCGCTGCATAGATCGACTAGTAGCAGTCAGCAACGGCTGATGACTGGACGATTTGCGTTGGGCTGAGCATCACCAGCCACCCCGTCGCCTCACTGCCGCGAGCTGAGGCCACTAGAGGGACTTCTAGAAGAAGTGGGGCTTGGGCAGAGACGATCAGAGGCAAAGAACATCCGAGAATCGTCGACAAGGAGAGTTTGCAGATGGAAGATGATGGAAAGGGAGACTGTGCAAGGCTGAAGGAAGGCGATGGAGATGAGCAACAACTGACCGGTGGGGTGGTTGACAGACAACACGTGAGATCACGGGTCCGAGGACAAAGCAGCGAGTCATGCAGGATGACGTATGGCGCAGGACAAAGGCGACGATGATGAGACAGTCAATCGTCAAGAACAATGGATTAATCGCCAGACAGTCTGGATAGAGAGGCAACGAGAATATCTGCCCAAGACGGAAGACAGGGAGTCTGGCATCGACATGCGCTCTCTTTTCTATGCCTGCTTCTGGTGATGGCCGTGATCTCCTGACCTTGCAGCGACGAACCAGGCGAGATTGCCTGCCTCCATCCAATGCTGCGCCCAGCATCCTGCAGGGCTGCATCTCCTGGCAGTTTTCCTGCTTGGGCCTCCTCGGATTCGACCCAACCTGGTGTTGCGCCCGACTCAGCCTCATTGCCCTACCCATTAGCGCCTCAGGCCCGTCTGAACAGAGTTCTTACTTGACTACTCCGTAATCGTGTCCCTTCGCAGAGCCAGGACAATCTCACCGACGCCGCGCTGCCGTTTTACCCGCAATCGCAGCCGTACACAGCAGCAAAGAACGATGACGAGGGCGTGGTCGCCTCGTAGGCAGCATGCATTCAGCTCTCCGCTTGTGAAGCAGAACGCGAGGCTGATATAACTACTAGAAATCTGTCTACGTCTTGTGCAGTGGAATGCGCCGTGGATGACGCATGGCAGCACGTGGCTGCTGTGCGGAACGGCCTTTGGTTCCGGGGATCTCATCACCCTGTTCCATGGGCAGTGCCAACACGAAACAAACAAAGGCGGGCAATCCGCGGAATGGCTACAATCAATCATCGCTGCTGGGCATGACGTCTGTTTGCAGCAGCTGAAGAAGCCACTCCGCAGAGCCTCCAAAGCGTGGCTTCTCCATGCCTTGCTATTGGCTCGAGCCGGCGATGTTGGAGCAACAGATAGGGCTGCGACTTGTCATCCATGCAGATATACTCAGACTACCCTTGCGTTTCCGGATTTTGGCCTGATTTTGGCCTGAATGCCGTCTGGAAGTCGAAATCTGCCTGTCTCGAGGCTCAGAGGCTCACACAATTAGGCAGACACCGCAGAAAAAAAAACAAAACAAACAGACAAAAATACACTCTCTTGGACCAGCGTCTAGAATGCCACTGCAAGTGGAAGAGCCTCAAAGGAAAACGATCAAGGAGGAAAGAATAAGAGAGATGAGAAACGGACAGAGACGGAGAAAGCGGACGGGTTTACTGCTTGTTGGCGCGGAGAAGGCGGAGAAGCGCGGAGATGGACGACCCCGCCTTGCGCAATCCACGCCAGATTCATGGATGGACATAGGGACGATGTTGCAATTGTTCTCAGCCTGGAAAGTGGGCTGTTTTAAATCATCATAATTGATTTTATCCCATGAATCCCTAAACCGCCCTCATAGCTTGCTATCCATGACATGCCGTCCGTAAATCATTTCAAGCGGGGTTCAACGTGGGGGGTCTATTAAATTCGATTCTGTACACTATTCATCTCCGTAGAAGGGTTTGAACGGAACACAAAGGAGAGAGATAGAGGATAGAAGAAATGGTGTACGTTGATTGTCGTGATTTAATTGTTGGGATGATGAAGGAAGATGTAGTTAACCCAGAGTTCCTCCGACATGCCAGTATTTGGCGTATTCTGTATTTTGAAAGAAGTAGTATATCGTGCAGGTGGATCCGTTAGCTACTGTGCTATTCAATTCCTAAAATCTGGTCGAGAGGAGTGGAAGAGCTCGTGCAAGGTATAAATAATTTAGCTCCCCTTGGATCTCCGCGGTTTGCGAGTACAACCTGCAATCAACTTCTCTGCAATCCTCAAGATGAGCGGCTCCCTCACCAACTACATCGCCTACGTCGAGAACAGCACCACCAATGTCTCGCGCATTGGACATCTGGATGCGGCCAGCGGCACCATCCAGCCCTTGTCCTTTGTGTCAGGCACGCCTCTGCGCGACCTCTACCAGGTCATCGCCGCCGGAGAGGAGAACATCATCACCGGAGTAGGCGAGTCGCCCGTCGCGCTGGACGCCGTCAAGATCCTCCCCGTCATCAGCGGTCGAGACATCCTGGCCGTGGGCAAGAACTACCCCGAGCACGCGACCGAGTTCAACCGGTCGGGCTACGACAGCTCCGACAAGGTCGACCAGCCCTCCCACCCGGTCATCTTCACCAAACGCGCCACCTCCATCATCGCCCACGGCGATCCCATCCTGCCGCATCCCGACTTCACCAAGACCCTCGACTACGAGGGCGAGGTGGGCGTCATCATTGGCAAGGCGGGCTTCCAGATCCCCGAGGCTGATGCCTGGGACTATGTCTGGGGATACACCATCATCAACGATGTCACCGCGCGAGAGAAGCAGAGGGATCACAAGCAATTTTTCATTGGCAAGTCGGCCGATACCTTTGCCCCGATTGTAAGCCAGAACTCTCCCTTTTTTTTTGTGTGTTTCCAACTGACAGGAATCTCCAGGGCCCCATCGCTGTTCCCAGGAGCCATCTCCCTCAGACTCTTCGCGTCCAGACGTTTGTCAATGGACAACAGAGGCAGGATGGCACGACCGATCAGCTCATCTTCTCGATCCCCACGTTGATCCACACCCTTTCCCAAGGCCAGACGCTTCAGCCCGGAGATGTCATTGCAACTGGAACGGTAAGACGCAGAAACAAGTTTTGCCTCGAGTTCATTGACTGATTGACCAGCCCGCTGGCGTCGGTTTCGGACAAAACCCGCCAACCTTCCTTCAGCCCGGGGATGAAGTCGAGATCCGAGTCACCGGCCTAGGCTCTTTGCGAAACAAGGTGGCGCCAGTCAACACGAGCAATCCGACCCTCTCGACCCTGCAGAAAGCCTCACCGGTTCCCACGACCAACCTGGCCAAATCGGTCAATGGAGTCAGCCTCACCCCGATCAACGGGAAGCCTCTGTATTATCAGACTCGAGGGAGCGGTCCTCCCATTGTGTTTGTGCATGGCTTGGGAGGCAGCTCCGAACACTACACGCCCCTGATCTCCGCCCTCTCGCTCGACAAGTCGCATACGGTACACCTGCTTGATCTCGAGGGACACGGACTGTCTCCAACGTCCGCGCTCTCTCCGTTGAGCATCGAGTCTTTTGCTGCCGATGTCAAGGGCGTCTTTGACCATGCGGGGATTACATCGTCGTCAGGCGCGACGCTGGTGGGCCACTCCATGGGATCCTTGATCGCGCTGCAGTTTGTCCTACAGAACCCCGGTCTTGTCAAGAAGCTGATCCTGCTGGGGCCGCCGCCGAACCCGCTCCCAGAGGCGGCCAGCAAAGGATCCCTTGCTCGAGCCGCGCTGGCCCGGGAGAAGGGGATGGTGGCGGTGGTGGACGCGGTGGCCACGGCGGCGACATCAGAAGCGACCAAGACCAACAATCCTGTTGCGATGGCGGCCGTGCGACTGTCGCTCTTGAGCCAGGATCCTGAGGCGTATGCCAAGGCGTGCCAGGCTCTGGCAGGGGCCACGACGGCCTTCCCTCTGGAGCGAGTAGACAGCCAGACACTGATCATCACGGGCGACGAAGATAAAGTCAGTCCGCCGGCCGTGGCAGCCAAGTACGCGAGCACGATTCCCCAGAGCCAAGAAGCGATCGTTCTGAAGGGGGTGGGCCACTGGCATATCTTTGAGGATGTCCAGGGCGTGGCCAATGCGGTCAAGAATTTCATCTAGATGTACATACAGAGTACCGTCATGCATAGCAAGTCTATACTGTATAGGCTATAGGGTAGTCTACATACTCCATTCCTACGGAGTATTCCTGACCGGATAAATATTACTGCCTCAAGATGTAGATCATGACTGTACTTCTCTGCTGGTGAACTGGTTGAAAGAGATTTGAAACACTAGCAGAATACTCCGTAATGCTTGCTATATTGCGACAACCCTGCAAGGCATCCCTGTCGTACAGCTAATAGTTCGCTAGGTATTCTATATTTAGGGGGGGAGAATTATAATTATGCAGGAGTAATACTCCGTACACAATTGGCAGCCGGAACCATCGGAACGGTGCATGTCTGCGCATTATGCGTGTACGTACACATAATGTACGGAGTACTCCGTACTTATATATCAGTCGATTCTTAGGCGAGGATCACTTAGTGTTGCTTGCTCTAATTAAGTTGGCTAGCTGGCCATTAAGTTCCACCGGTTTTTGGGCAGTGCGTGTGGAGTATGGAGTATGGGGTAGGATGGGGCTGTGATTAGCATTAGCATTAGCATTAGTATTAGTATTATTAGTCTTATTATTCCTTGGTATTATTAGCAGAGCCTGAAGATTCCCATCTTGTGTTACTCTGCCTGTTACTCTGCTTTTTTTCTTCATCCTGTTTCATCTCATCTTGTTTTCTTTTATTTCGCTCTAGACATCTCCAGTTCGAGAGACACTCGCAGGATGAGCGAGACATCATAAGAATCTCCAGTAACTAACTCATCTTCATCGACATGTCCTCCTCACACCCCTCCAAGCGGCTGCCCATCAGCTGCGAACCGTGCCGCAAGCGAAAGATCAAATGCCCTCGCGACCGCCGCCCGTGCCAGACGTGCGTGCGCCGCGGGCTGCATCCCGACGAATGCATTTATCTCGGCCGTCCGCGACTGTCGGCCGAGCAGACGACATGCTCCTCCACCGTCGACGCGGGCGTGCAGCAAGAGCTGCTCGACCGCATCCGCAATCTCGAGGATCTCCTCCAGAAGCAGATCCCGCCGCAGCAGCAGAAGAATACCCCCGTGTCCCCTCCCAGCACGGTCGTCAGCTCCACTGCCAAGTCGTCATCGTCGTCGTCGGCGGCGCCAACGTATGAACCAGCTGGAGATTCGTCCTCCACCAGCTCCCAGTACGATGCCTCTGGAAATGTGGGCTGCCTCAAGGTTTCTCCGTCAGGGCATGTTCGCTACGTGCCGATGGCGTCGCAGTGGAACTCCGTCTTCGCCAAGTCGGCCGTGGGCGACAGCCTCGACGGGGTGGACGACGACGTTCTGGACGATGGGGAGCTCGAGGTGCCGTTTGTCTGTCAAGGGAGGACAACGCGCAAGGACCTGCTGGCGATGCTGCCGCCTGGACGGTACTGCGACGTGCTGAAGGATGTCTTTCTCAAGGTCTTCTCGCCGGTGAGATTTCTCCCTGCTTCCCCTTATCCCTAAGAAATAAGAGCTGAGCTGGCTAATGTATTAGCTCTTCCACATCCTGCACGATCCCACCTTCGAGGACGAATATCGCAAATTCCGGCACAACCCCGACAGCGTCTCCAAGGCCTGGCTGGCCCTGCTCTTCGTTGTCCTGGGGATCGCCGTCACCGGCCTCGACGACGACAACCCGCTGCTGCCGGACCTGGGACGCGAGCCCACCGTCAGCGGGAATATCCAGGTGCTGTCGCGGCGATATCGATCGGCGGCGATGCAGTGTCTGGCGGCCGACTCGGTGGTGTCTCACCATTCCATCCGCTCACTGCAGGCGCTCGTGCTGATCCTGTATGCACGAACGCATGCGAGTCAGCCGACCTGGACGCTGCTGGGCTTTACCCACCATGTCGCCATCTCGATGGGCTGTCATATCGACCCGGAACGGTTTGGCTTGGGTCCGGTGGAATGCGAAGAGCGACGCCGGGCGTGGGCCGGGTTGATCATGATCTACACGATCCAGAACACGTCGTTTGGCAGTCTGGATGCCCGTTTTCTGTCGCACGACGTGAAACTGCCGGCCGATGTCAATGATCTGGACTTGCTGGTGGGCTCCAACTGCTCCGATCGCGACCCGCGCAGCGGTCCTACGCAGATGACCTACCTGCTGATGAAGTTCCGGCTGTATGAGATCTCGGCCAAGATCTGCCAGGGCATCTTCTTTAATGATGGCTCTGCCCGGTCGCAGCCGTCGTCGTCCGTCACGGAATTGCAGCAGGAGATCATAGCGATCCAGGAGGCATGCAAAGAGCGCTATCTCTCCGACACCAGCCGCGAGCCACTGCCCAGCCACCACATGGCGAACCTCAACATCCTCTACAGCTACATCAACCAGCTGTTTCTGCTGCTGTACCGGCCGCTATTCCGGAAGTACTTCCAGGGGGAGGTGACGCCGGCGACGCGCAACGCGCGAGACCGGTGCCTGGCGTCCGCGCGGGAGATGCTCGCCATCTACAAGAACATGGTCGAGACGCCGCAGTTCGCCGAGTACAAGTGGTACAGCGGCGGACTGGGCAGTTTCCACGCGTTCCACGCGGCGGTCATCCTGGTCGCCGTGCTGATGAACCCGGACAGCCACGCCGAGTTTGACGATCTCAGGCGGCTGCTGAGCGAGTCGATAGATTTGTTTGCGTCGCTGGCTCACCGGAGCACGATCTGCAGTAGGGTTGTTCCTATTCTGCGGAATTTCATGTACGCAGTCGTCTCCCTCTTGTCTTAAGTTTTTCTTGCTCACGGATTAATTTTTTTTAACAGGTCCATTTGCGACAACCATCGCCATTCAGAACAACCCTACCGTCCGCATCCGCCGCAAGACGGGTACATGCCCGAGTCCCCGCCGATGGACATCCCGATGGACGCCTTCTTTGCGCAGCTGCAGCCAGAGTACTGGGTCAGTCCGGCTGCGGCAGCCTGGGACGGGTGGGATTTTCTCGCAGAGCAGTTTGAACCGGCAGTCCAGACGGGCGTCCAGACGGTTCCGGTGCGGGCGCCTGGGTAGGAGTACTCTGTCCTACCAGGACGTTGGCTGAGTACTGGACTGCGCATGGCGTGATGCGGAGTATTTTCCTGTCTTCGCTGCATGGTAGAATTGTACCAGGACGAACAAGAGACTTTCTGACTGGCTGACTGGTCGAGTACCAGCAGAAGTGATCTTCTCCAGCTATGTCAAGAAAGAGTACGCCTTAAGCAGGGTCAGGACAGACTGCTCGCAGCACAGCACCTCTAGAGCTGAACACCGATAACATGGTTAGAGCAGACCGGTTCCTAGACGAGACTGTCTGCGAGATATATACCGACTCAGACTCTCATGGTCTTGATCCAGCAGATCTGGAAACACAAATACATCTCCTGTGGGGAAAGAAGCTGGAATACTGTAAATGGTATATAACACCAATCTCAGACTTATATCTAAAGATACAAAATAGACAATCCCGAGAGGCGATCAAACACAAAAAAAACCATTTCAGGAGGCCAATTTAGCAAAGTTAGCCAATTCACTTGACGGAATTTCAAACAAATAAATAAATTAAATGCATAAATCAAGGTAGCATACCTACCTACCTCTCTAGTCGACAAGCTCCTCATATCATCTATCTAATCTTGCTCTGTATCCTGTCTACTGTACTTGCTAAATAAGAGAGAATAGTACAGCTTTTGAGCCAACAAAGGAATAATCTTACTATAAGTTACCATTAATCAGTTAATGGTCGAAAAGAGAAAAGTGAAAAGTGAAAGAAAAATTTCGTCCATGAGGAGCTAAGTAAGGTACAGGTGAAGTCTGTCTCTGTCTTTAATTTTTGTTCCTTTGTTTTTCATACACAGACTCTTTCTTTCTCTCTTTGTTTTTGTTTTCCTTTCTTTATAGTGACAGATACAATACAAGCCCACTTGCTATAATACAAACAATGAAAGAGAATATATACTTACTTCTTCAAGCAGACAAAAGATTGATTCCTTTGAAAAAGAAAAGGGTTTAGAAAAAGGATCACTTTCTATTGTCTGGACAGACAAAAAAAATGACAGACCAGATCTGATCTTTTTAAAAGGGTATATCCTGCTAAATTAATCAACGTCTTGTATGAGCTAGTGTATATATATAAATACTCTTCTTCTCTCCTCTATCGATTGTCATCAACTTCCTTCATCTTCTATCTATCAGTGTTTTCGAATCGAATTACGATCATCTTCTATATAATATACCAATGCATCCCCCCATGTCCGTCACTTGGTTCCCTCCCGCCAAGTTCATTGGCAGGAAGGTGTCCTTCGACGACCCCTACCGGTGCACCTGGAGGCTGGAGCGCAAGCTGACCGAGAACACGCATGGCATCATCGGCAACGACAACGCTCGGGAAGCGCGCGCGGTGTTTGTCGGGTCGAGAGTCGACAAGCCTACGGGGGAGGAGGCGATTATCAAGATCCGGATGCAGTGAGTCAGTCCCATTCATCCCATACCTAGATAAATAGGGCTACTGACTAACTGACGATAGAATCCCACAAACCAACACCGAAACCCAACCACCCAGTAAGCGCGCCCAACAGGCCAAACACACCATGCTCCCCTTTGCCAGAGACGAGGTTTCCGCTCTCGAGTCGCTAACAAAACAGGGCTGTACCAGCGCCCCGACGCTGCTGAGCTGGAAGCTGGAGAAACAGGGGCCCCGAATGTGGGTTCCCGGCGGGCCGATTGTCTTCATCCTCATGGAGAAGCTACCGGGTATCTGTCCGGGGGATGGCGTGGTGGACATCTTCCTTTCGCTGAAGAGGGAGGAGAGGGATGAACTTAGGGAGGCGTTTAAGAGGGCTTGGCTGTACGTTACATCCTGTCGTGAACAAGTAGTGTGGATACTGATTAATGATGATGACTCCAGGGAATGCGCCTCCTACGGACTTATCAATTCCGATGCCAGTCTCAACAATCTTATGTGGGACCGTGAGAAGAAGAAGTGGTGAGTATAGTACCATCCTCATCCCGGTCCAGAGCGTGCCATGCTGACGAGAATTCTTCCTGCAGCTACATTATCGATTGGGAGTCGACCTGGGAGACCGATCCTGCTGCACAGCCGTGCTTCGATCACGAATTCCTCCGATGGGGGTTGTTTGAGGGCGATGAGGGAGATCCGGAGTTGTGGGAATACTAACTGACCAGGAGTAGAGATCTGTGGAGTATCATGTCAAGAACTAATTAGCGACAGGATAGGAATATAAACTTCGTCTCTTTGAGTCAAATAGTGAGTAGCGTCAACATTGCGTAGTATATATATATGTGACATGCTTTACGTAGTACGGTGTAGTTGATATTACACAGTGTGACTCGGAATTTCTGATACTGAACATCACGCAGCAGGCTGCCAACGACTCGATGAAGATGAGTTGGATGAACAATATGGAAGTAGGATTGAAGTGCTGAGTTGAGGTACCTGCCCTAACCCTGAGCCCTAAACCCTACCGCGACTATTTCCAGCGTAGCCGTTTATCTAACTTCACCTCTCTCTTCTTTTTTTTTCTCCAACAATCGGCGTTTCCCCTTGAAGAACCTCCGATAGATAACCTTACTCTGTACTAAACTTAGTCACTCACTCGGCACTCTCGGCAAGTCCAGTCATTGACTCCAGTCCAGCCAAGGAACTTGTTCGAACTGGGAATTATAATTTCTGTTTCCAACAGTAAGAAGAATTCGATGACCGCCATTGGCTATACTGTTGAAAAACTAGAGATTTCCACCGTCGGCGGACCCTCTTGGCGTTGAACTACTTGGTACTACTGCTACTGCGTGTACTCCGTACTCCGTAGATCTGAAGAGCTCCTTTCAGCTCTCAGCCTCAGTCTCAAGTCTAGTTTCTGGAATCCGACTGGTTTGTCGGATGCTGCCTAGCTACTGCGAAGGAAGATCATGGTGCTATATCCGCCAGGCTCCATTTGGCTTAATTGTTGATAAATTACTCGAATATAGTTCAGGACCAAAAGATCTAGACATCCTGTGTATAAATAGCCCAGCTTCCTGAAGAATGACATCCAACTCGTCCAGGTGCAATTCTTCTATCTAGTTTATTCTCTCCAGAAAAGACGGGACAACATGACCATCCTTTCAAACCTGCTTGCTCTCTCCCTCGTCGCCCTCGCTCAAGCTGTCCCCAACGTCACCCCCGTCCTCGCCCAAGGTGGCTGCTCTGTCTACCCATCGTATGACGCCTCGACGGGCATCGCCGGTCCCTGGATCATCCAGGTCGACCAGTGCACCAACACGACATCCTCCCAGCCCTGCAGCATCAACGGATACGGCGACAACGTCCAAGTGAGGCGGCTGGCCGACGACACGGGGATTCACGAGGGTTACGTTAGTATATACTCATCACGACCACGTTTGCTCCCACTGACGTTTGCTCGTACTTGTATGCGGGTATGTAGATAACCATCGCCTCCGTCAACGACCAAGCCAAAACCCCAATCCGGTGCAACGACGCCACAGGCACCAACAACAGCATCCTCGAAGCCCTGACCCCTACCGGCGTCAGCGGCTACGCCTGGAACCAGATCAACATCACCAACATCCCCTTCTCTGCACCGCTGATGTGGGGGCTGCCGGCCGACGCCTCCATCCCCATCGAGCCCTACTACCACTACGTCGACGGCAAGCGGCAGCCGGGCCTGTTCCTCGGCTCGCACAATGTCACCACCTGGGGCATCAAGTACTACGAACCCGACGCCGCGAGCACTGTCGACGGTGAGCCGTACTGGTTTATTCGGTTGCTGGGACCAGGTAGTGCCGATCCGACGACGGGGGAGGCTCTTGAGGAGGGCGAATATGAGACTTTTATTCGTGTATATGGCAGTTAAACGCATGTACTGTACGAACGTACGTACGAATTGGGTGCGATTGGTAGATATCTATTCTTGGAGGTGGTATAATATATTAGTATAGTTGTACTGCCTGTGCAGTAGCTGTATTTGTTGCATTGTCGACATGTCAGGCATAGCAGACATAATAATAGCCCGTTTTGGTAGCAGTTATCGAATTCACCCAGTTTAGGAATCAAGGCAATTCTATACCTGTAGCTGCAACTTGTGACATGGTCTGCTCAACCACGCATTCGGACTATAAAAGAGCAAAAGAAAAAGAAAAAGAAAAGAAAAGAAAAGGAAGAATATCACCTCGGTACAGACAAAGTCTTCTAATAGCAAATCTTGCAAAGAGGACATTATAATTAATTAATCAAAGTCTAGACTTGGCTGAACTCGAGTATGTTGAGATCGACTTTATTTAATAACATATAGCTACTACCTACCGTCTTTGAAGCTGGAATTTTGTGTATATGTATTTTTTGCCCCCTTCGCTTGGATTCTTCTCCATTTCGGTTTACGTATATTTCTTTCTCTTTTTCCCCCTTCTTCTTTGCCTTACGGTTGTAATGCACCTCCCGTCGTTCAAGTATTGCTTCTTTCTATTAGAAGTTGACTATTAATCAGTAATACTGAGCATTAATAATCTGGAGTTCGCCTATTGTTATCTATTTTTTTATTAATCAAAACTGGAGAAAAGCTGGGGAACCTGCCTAAAAGATAATATAGCCTAGGCTTAGCCTAGGGCTACGCCGGCAGCTCCTCCGCACTCACTCGTCGCCATCACGCTACGAAGGATTCTCCGTACCTCATCCTCTGTACTCTCCGTAGAAGAGAGAGAGGGAGTACTACTAGTAGTTGTTAGTAAGGCTACTACTGCTCAAGCTCCGATTTAGCCGGTCGGTAATTTCTTTAGCTATTACCATTTTGTGCATACGATTCTGTCGGTGTGTATACCGGACGGAAGTAGTACTCCGTAACGAACCAACTATTCTATTCTTGCTTTTATCAACTCAGACTAAATTGATGGAATTGATCCAATTGAATAAGCACTAATTCTCGCTTGCTGTACTTAGCTTAGGTACCTAGGTGACTACGTAATTATGCAGTTGGTTAATTAACGGTTTTTAAGCTTAGATGGATGAATGCTTCCTTCGTACTTGTTTATATTTATGTCAGGGTTAACAATGTGTATATATATACCCCGTAGTCTTACTACATTGGTATGCACTTACACCACGCAGCGAGTGATCGATTTGGTATTGTTGGTGATCAATTGAGACTGTTTCCTGTTCTTAGGCAAGGAGAGTGTGTCTTCCGCCATGATCTCTCTCCTCGCGTTGGCCGCTGTGCCAATTCCTGTCCTGTCCGCCCCGTCTAGACCTCACGCCCACATCTCCGTCAATACACAAACCCGCTTCCAGCAGGTCGACGGATTCGGCTTCTCCGAGGCCTTCCAGCGCGCAGAGGACATCTACGGCAAGGATGGCTTGTCGCCCGAGAACCGCACCAGAGTGCTCGATCTCCTGTTCAGCGACACCCATGGCGCCGGCCTGACCATCGTCCGCAATGGCATCGGCTCCAGCAATAGCTCCATCAAGGACTTCATGAACTCCATCGAGCCCTTCAGTCCCGGCTCGCCGTCTGCGCCGCCGCACTACGTCTGGGACCGCAACGACAGCGGCCAGGTGTGGCTGTCCCACGAAGCGGCCTCGTATGGCGTCAACACGTTCTATGCCGACGCCTGGTCTGCTCCCGGTTACATGAAGACCAACGACGACGACTCCAACGGCGGGTACCTGTGCGGCGTGACCAACACGTCCTGCGCCTCCGGGGACTGGAAGCAGGCCTACGCCAACTACCTCGTCCAGTACGTCCGGTTCTACCAACAGGTCGGCATCAAGGTCACCCACCTGGGTTTCCTGAACGAGCCCCAGGAAGACGTCACCTATGCCAGCATGCTGTCGGACGGCACCCAGGCGGCCGACTTCATCAAAGTTCTAGCACCCACCGTCAAGGCGGCAGGACTCGACGTCAAGCTCACCTGCTGCGACGGCGTCGGGTGGGAGGAGCAGCGAGCGATGCTGCCGGGCCTCCAGGCTGGAGGTCCCGAGCACAGCGCGGAAAGCTATCTGTCTGTGATCACCGCCCATGGCTACAACTCCCCGCCCACAACGCCTCTTGAGACCTCGTTGCCAGTGTGGATGACCGAGTGGGCCGATCTGAATGGGAACTATACGGCCGCCTGGTACGAGAACGGCGCCGCCGGCGAGGGTCTGACCTGGGCGAACCGCATCCAAGACGCCTTCACGCGGAGCAACGTCAGCGCCTTTCTGCACTGGATCGGAGCGGAGAATGGCACGAGCAACAGCCCTCTCATCAACCTGAACGGCGATTCGTATGTCGCGACCAAGCGGCTGTGGGCGTTCGGCCAGTTCAGTCGATTCGTCCGGCCGGGTGCCGTCCGCATCGACGCGGTCAGTTCGGACTCCTTGGTCACGGTGAGCGCGTTCCAGAACAAGGATAACGGCGTGGTGGCCACGCAGGCCATCAACAATGCCGACACAGACTATGAGGTCGAGGTGGAGTTGACGGGTTATGGACCCGTGTCCGTTATCCAGCCGTATCTGACGAACAATGAAAACGACCTGGAAGCCTCCAAGCCGATCATCGCGCTTGCTGTTGGGGCAGCAACCAAGTTCACGAGTATCGTTCCGGCGAGGTCCTTGGTTAGTTTCGTAAGTAAATAGTGGTATAATAACAGAGTGGATTAGTCCAAATAATTTGGTGATGAGGAAAGAAAACCACCTATTGTACATAGTTCAGCGGACTGGAAGCGGTCCGTGTCATGTGATTTTAGATCTCAATCATCTTGTTTCGCCAGAAGTGGAGAGACTTCCGTCCCATGCCTTTGTAAGGTATACCATGTTGGAAAAAATTGGTTGCAAATCCAGTGACTTGGATCAGAAATAGTCAGTGGATGCACTTCAGATGGGCGAATCCGGCAGAACTGTCTATAGAAATGTGTGCTTTGCAAGTTGAATGGTATTGGCGTTATGACATTTATCCTTTTAAGACATCCTAAGTCGAGTTCAAGGCACATAGGAAATTTTGCTCCCCCGGGCTGTAAACCATCGATCCCAGGGGGTAAACAGGGACATAGTTCAATGCATTCAGCCTCATATCAGGTCTGTCCGGCAACGTCTCACAGAAAGAGAATGCATTATCCCGTTCTAGATCACAGATCCCATATCCTGGTATCCGTTCCGTACAATAATAATAATGCCAAACGAACCGGACCTCGAATAAAGCCATGGTCACCGCGACCAAGGTCTTCCCCAACACCATCTCCACATCCTCACATCGCATCCGACACAATTTACTCCTGAGTAGCCTCCTCGGCCGCAGCATTCCGCTTGGCCGTGATGCGCTCCAGTCGTCGTTCACGGGCAGCCTTGGTCTTGGCACGCTTAGCATCCATCTCCTCCTTGAGGATACGCTCACGCTGCTTCTCAGCCTTGGCCTTGTGGATCTGTTCATTATCACAGTCAGCTCAATCCTGGACAGGAGTTTCGATTCAAACCGCAGATTCGTATGGCGAGGAAACTTACGTGCTCAACCAGAGCGCGCTTGTGCTTGAAGGTGTTACCCTTGCTCAGGTGGTAGAGCTCGTGGTAGAGGTGCTTGTCAATCTTGCCAGCGGCACGGTACTTCACGAGGAGACGGCGGAGAACCCGCTGGCGGCGCATCCACAGCACTTGGCTAAAAGGAGACCAATGTCAGCGTAGATTCCAGGCGATGTTTTTCGACGATCCGTCTCCTTAACGGATGGATCACAGTCCTCCCACAACGATAGACATACCTGGGCATTCGCGCGTCCTTGGTACCCTTCCGCTTACCCAGACCACGGTGTCGGCCAATTCGACGAGCGGCAGCGAGCTCGCGGGCGCGGGCGCGCGAGTGCATGGTGACCGGCTTGCGGATGATGAGGCCATCGCTGACCAGCTTGCGGATCGTCTGACGAGAGTTGGCGTTGGAGATCTCGTTCACCTCATTCGGGTCGAGCCACACTTTGCGCTTGCCGCAGCCGATCACGGAGGCCGCGAGGCGCTTCTGGGTACGGAGATTGACCCTATATCCAGCGAAAGGAAAAATTTCACGCGGTCAGCTTGCTGCCCACGAACGCAACGGAGTGTAGAAAGTGGGAGATCCGGGAGATCCGCCTGCGTGCATCATCCAAGGATGATAAAACACACGGACAAGAAATCCCCCTCGCTGATCTCGATGATGGAATCAACGGATGGGAACTCACATCTTGATGTCGGCGTGTCGACGGTCGTTGGGCGGATGGTGTTCGTCGTTCGAGTTCGATTGACGACGGATGATTTCAGTGAGGAGTTTGAGATGGGGTGGTTGATTAGCTAATCGATGTGCTGCTAAGCGAGAAAACCGCTCGAACCCACATTAGGGCTTAAGCCCCTTCCGCCGACCACTAGTATTCGCGCCTGAGTTTGTACCTAGCCCTCCACGCAATCACAAACGCTCCCAAAACTCGCCCAGGCCTCCTTTGACAAGGATTTAACATGCGAAGAGCTTGAGCCTTGAGGTTGTATCATGGTTGCAAACTGGATAGCCATACCAGGACGCTGTTTTTCACTGCAGTTAAGAGTAGGCGACCTTCTGATTATGTAATCACACACGTGACTAGAAGCACCAATTACGGTTCTAGTGTTCTACGCACGTGATGAAGACCTCTACTCCGTACTTTGATGTACTGTGTATGGAAGAAGCGAAGAAAGATTTACAACAAAGGTTTAGAAAAACATCGTATATTTAAACAAATTGCTGATAGTATTTATCATAGGAGTATCATTGCAAGCATCACTCGTCACCAGAGGTGTCTTCTCCAAGGACAACCCTTCCAACGCTCCACACCTCCTTCTCGTCTTCCACTTCATCGTTAGACAGACCCAGGCCGCCTTGGCCACCCTCGGCTTCTCTCCTCTCCCGTGCCTGCCCAGCAAGCCGCAGTGCGACCCGCTTGAAGTAATCTGACATACTCCATTTGGGCCCAGGAGGCAGCTCGGCACCAGGTCCTGCCATATACTTGTCGAACACGGCTCCCTCGGAGTCCACGACGGAGAATATCGACAGGAAAGCAGCCTCAGCTGCGAGCTTGACAGGTATGACGGTATCACGAACGCTAGAAAAGATTGCCGGCGCAAGCAATCCCAGGTGAGGTCTGGTGAGCTCCGGGTGTAGACGGCTGACCGTACGGATGACGACAAGGGCCAAACGGCGAGTGTCGGAAGGTTTGCCCGGTTGTATCATTGGAGCCAGTGCTTCGAACACTGACTTATTTGTCTCGAAATTCTTGCCATCACCTTCCGCAAGGAGGTATTTACCAGCGGCCAGCACACTGTTGTCGGATATGAAGGGCTGGACAACATTAGTAATGTATTGAAGACGTCATTGAGGTAGCCATTTTCAACTTACATCAGAGTTAGAGATTCCCTGGCAAATGATTGAAGGCGTTTCGGCTGCGAAATTCTCCAGCAACAAAGACGGCGCCTCAACAAGCAAGGCATTCAGCCCCAAAATAGAGGCATGAGAGAAGTTCGTAGTAAGAGCCCGATTCCTTATGACTGGTATGGCCGTGGCCGCCGGGAGATTCTTGACAAGAACACCAAGCAATCGCGCATTAGTTATTGCCATGGCATCTGTAGAATACTTAGTACCAGCTCTCAAAGTTGTACTGACAGGATCATATTTACCCGTTCGGTCACTGCTGTCATCATCAATCAAGCCAAGAACGGCATTTCTTGATGCCTCACTCATGCTGGTACCAGCCTTGCCCACAACCTCATGGAGCGCTTTCATCATGGCGTTCTTAACTCCTTCATCAGAAGTTTTGGCTCCAGCGACAAGCTCTGTATCCACAAGTCAGCGTGTTTTATTGTAAGAATCCTCGGCTCAGACTTACCTGCAACGAGAGGATCTACTCTTGGCGTCAGTGTGATCAGGATTCCAAGACCCTTGGCAGCCCTGTTACGTAGAGTCTCGCTGGTTGTATCGGCAAGACCTCTAGCGAAGGTCCTCTGCAGTTGTGGAAGGAATGGCTTGACAGCCTGAGGAATCTTCTCCAAGAGTTTATTGAGCGCAAAGAAAACCGCAGCTGGTTTAAATTAATTAGTGATTGTCCCAGGAAAAAAAGGGGGGGGGGGGG